ATATATATATATATATATATATATATATATATATATATATATATATATATAATATATAAATATATAATAAATAAATAAATAATATATAAATAATATTATATAATATTATATTAATATTATATTATATATATAATATATATATATATATAATATTATTTATATATTATTTATTTATTTATTATATTAATATTATATTATATATATAATATATATATATATAATATTATTTATATATTATTTATTTATTTATTATATATTTATATATTATATATATATATATATATATATATATATATATATATATATATATATATATATATATATATATANTAGCTACATACGTTCCCTAATAGGGAATGTCTTCATTTACTTTCATTCGTAGATTTTGATACGAGAAGAATCGATTTCGATTTTTAAAAAAGAAGAATAACATTCGGTTTTCATATATATATATATATATATATATATATATAAATACAATTATTGAATTGCAGAAGGTAGGAGTGAAAAACGCTGACATTGTTATGACTACCGGATACGAAAAAAAAGGAAGTAAAGAGGGCCATAAGAGACAAAGAATTGAAATTATTATTATTGAAGGTAGAAAATCTGCCATCGATCATTCAAATGGACGAGTCAGTTAAAACCGGCTTTATATAAAATGCGTGGAACGATATTACAATAATCGAGTGTGCGACGATCATTAATAATTTTCGGAAATGGCTTGGAAAACCATTGTGTATTGTAGTAGAAGGAGCCGAATACTTAATGCAAATTTTATTGTTGAGTTTCGTTAATATGTTTGCAATGCGATAAAATATGTAGGATATTCAATTAAAGTGTCCTTATTTGCAAAGCAGCTAAATTTAGATATATACAGATATAGGGACAGAATTTTCTCCGCGTCCTGTTATAAAATAAATACAACATTGATTTTTGCTCAGAATTTAATCCGAGAAAGATAACCTACGTCGCAGAGGCGCCTGCGAAGACTGTTGATTTTTGTTAATTTTTCATAGAGGTCTAGTGATTTAAGTTTAAAATTACTTAAAATATAAAAAAATATAATATAAATGCATTTTATTTTTACAATAATGCCAAACCTTTAAAATGACTAACTTAAATAAATATCCATTGTTAGTATAAAATTGACGTCTTAGAAAAGCATGCGCCTCTGAAGCGTATGGTTATCTTTTACGTACGTTGTCATATGGTTATCTTTCTAGGGTTAAGTATACCCTGTATTGTACATGCGATAAGGAAAGGGGACGGTATTCGAAGTAATAACTTCCACATCCAATTATGATGGAGATACTGTAAATAATAATATTTGCAATAGAATCTGACAGACTCCGCGTCCGCGGTGAACGGTTAAGGAAAATCAAATATTTGGTAGCAAATAATAAGCATGCTAATTGAATCGTATCACATTTGATCAGACAACACAACGATAAATTATTAGTTTGCTTGACTCATGATTTATAAAGCTCGCAGTGCACCTTCCATTCGCCTTCTCTGTTTAGAAACGTCTTTCTAAGATCCATAGGAGACACATCGTGCTTGTTGAGGTTTAAATGCAATCTACACTCCAATGCTGCACAAACATCATTCGACGTTTATTTACTTGCGGTCGCGGTGTTTGTTGAGTTTCCGACAAACGTTTTGATACCCTGCTAATATCCTCCAGCACGTACAAAGTGCTATTTACTAAAAGTAAGTCAATGTTGTTGCTTGCGTCGCGTTTGATATCGTCAGCGAACTGGCTAACGAGATCGTTTTCTGATACATTAATTTCCAAAATTATATTGGTTTGGCAACTAAGTAATCGCCGATTTGTTCAATGAAATAAAAAATTCTTTTCTTTTTAAACAGAAAAATCGTCCTTCTTTGAATAATTTCAGTGAGCTGAAAATAATGAATACGCATGCTTGACTACGTGGCCGAAATAATGAAGTTTCATCTAATTTTTGCGATATAACAGTGCGTTGTGCGTAACGTTTCTGCTATTTGTTATTAGCAGACGATTCATGACAATACATTCAGTGAAACGCATAATTATTTGAATAGTATAATTTTTATTGGTACGGTTATTGTATCAATATTACAAAAATTTAGAAATTTTTCGCACAATAATTATTGTAGGTTCACTTAACATTTCTGCACTTCTGTTTAACAAATTATCATAGATGCAATTAGAAGGTATTTAATTTCGCAGAAAACTTAATATGTAGTTGGTCCTCCATCTTTACTTATGGCCTCAAATATTATCCTTTGCAGCACCGAGTCCATCAATTTCTGCAGCATCTCTGATCTCTGATCTGAAACCTCTGATGCTATTTTTTAATTCATTAACGATTGCGTATTGTTCACCGTTCCTGTAAGCATCTCTTGTTGAAATGTCCTATTGAAAATGTGGAAGACACAATTTCCAAATCCGCGTAATATTATGTGCTTCGCTAAATGCATCGCGACGAATCGCCCACTAATAACAAAAAAAAACAATAAAACGTTACGTAAAACACGCTATTATAACAGAAAAATGGGACGAACTGATCATTATTTCGACCACTGTACTTTCAATCTTCCTACTATTTGAAATTGCACCTGCTCATGTTAGTCGTAAATGCATAAAATCCGCGGTCTATTCATTTCTTTCGACCTTCCTCGCGCTGAAGAAGCAATTCGATATCTGTCGACTCTACGACCGCTATTTTTACGAAAGAAATTGCTCCATAATTTATATGAAGACAAACCAGGCAAAAATAGATCGGAATCGATGAGCAATCGAGTAGTCCACTTGACAAGGTGTTCCAATTTTATCATCTTTTCTGGCCGGCGCTTTGTTCCGACGATAGAACAAAACAGATAAATGAGAGACGTACGATTCGATATTTTCTGAACGGTCTCGATGGTTCTCGTTCATATCGAAAGTGTTTCTCTGGGACCGACAAAGTGGTTTCACAAAGATGCTTCTCAAAACACGGTTTTTCACGTATCCGATCCGCGGAAAATTACAAATGGCCCGTCGTTTGCCAGCGAAAGCCAATCGGTCTACACGTCCGTGCGATTTGTCTTTTTCGACGATACCGGCGGAATCGTTGACACTGTTTTATGTATCGAATCTATTCGACGTATATTTGTTTAACCAGCCCTGTCCCGTACAGATAAAAGCTTCCGAATATATGACTGATGATTATGACGGATTTCACCAGATTTTGATTGTTCGACACCGTTTCTAACGCTCTCCGTGTTTGCATTCTTTGTTACAGGTAAGATAGAAGCTTATACGTTGGTTCGACGAATGCGCAAGGAATAATAAGGGAATGAGAACATTTCAGCGTAAAAGATTCATTGAGAGAAAGGTAAATATGTTCTTTCCTTCTGCGTTCTTGAATTGTTTTACCAAATTGTATATTTCGAGATCAGTCGCGTACCGATCGTGATGCTATGTTTAAAGCGTAATGAAATTCCGGATTGATAATGCAAACTTATTCCGGTACGTATGATTTTGTTTAAAAATTCATGACTGTTAGAAGTACACTAAAATTTATCATACATGCATCGTTCATTTGTTTGTTCGGATGTGTAATAATTGAACTGCGGATCTTTGCGTAAACAACATCAATCAAACAGAAATGTGTCTACTTTCTTCTAATATAGTTTTAATTAGATGTAATATATTGACATTCTTGAACTCTTTCAATTCGTATATTTGCGTAAAATCTGCGGTCTAGTAATTATACATTCAATAATTTCTGACGCAAATCGGAATCAGATCGTTGGGTAAATTCATACTTTTTTAAATGCAATTTACTTCTTGGTAGAAGTTTAACAGATATACAATCTCAATAGTCTTATAATTTGATTTATTATTTTCTGTGCTTTTATATTATAAAAGGAGAATTAATTATATTCATAAATTATAACGGTACACTTTCTGGAAATATTCACTGCAATATATTTACACAGTACTGCACAATATTTTTAATAATATTGTGGATGAAATAAAATCACGTTATTTTGTTACCTTATCATATAATAGGTAAATAAAATAGTAAATATAATATAAATATAATAATATAATATATATAATATAATAATAATATATAATTATATATAATTATATATTATTATTATATTATATATATTATATTATTATATATTATATCTGTCTCTTATACACATCTAGATGTGTATAAGAGACAGATATAATATATAATAATATAATATATATAATATAATAATAATATATAATTATATATAATTATATATTATTATTATATTATATATATTATATTATTATATATTATATCTGTCTCTTATACACATCTAGATGTGTATAAGAGACAGATATAATATATAATAATATAATATATATAATATAATAATAATATATAATTATATATAATTATATATTATTATTATATTATATATATTATATTATTATATATTATATCTGTCTCTTATACACATCTAGATGTGTATAAGAGACAGATATAATATATAATAATATAATATATATAATATAATAATAATATATAATTATATATAATTATATATTATTATTATATTATATATATTATATTATTATATATTATATCTGTCTCTTATACACATCTAGATGTGTATAAGAGACAGATATAATATATAATAATATAATATATATAATATAATAATAATATATAATTATATATAATTATATATTATTATTATATTATATATATTATATTATTATATATTATATCTGTCTCTTATACACATCTAGATGTGTATAAGAGACAGATATAATATATAATAATATAATATATATAATATAATAATAATATAATATAATATATAATAATACAATAATATAATAATATAATATATAATAATACAATAATATAATAATATAATAAATATAATAAATATAAATATAATAAATAGTAAATATGTAATAATATTTAATTTCATAATATCAGTATCGAAATTAATAGTATTTGCCATAATATTTCCAATAGTATTTGCCATATTTCTACACAAGCCATATTATGTCAATGTTAACACTAAAGTAAATACTTATAACTAATTTATCGCATATAAACCGACTGGTCGCTGATGACACTAATGTTAACGCGATCCTTGTAAATGAACAATGTAAAGCGAAAATACGGTATAGCGCAATGTTAAAAAACACGGGGATTTTGGTTCGAGTCTGGAACGGGGAGCTTTTTTATAGGCTGTTTCTACATGTTCTAAGAGATAAATAATGTAGTAGACATTTATTTGAGAAATGGTAGAACAGAGCTTTAATAAATGTGGCTGCATACAGACGTAGAATCACCGCCGTAACCAGACTGCGGATTTCACGCATTTATGGTGTTCGCAAACATACGACGCAGTTTAGCAATATTTCAGTGTAATTCTTGCCTCATTTTTAACGTCGTTTAAAAATTTATATCGATACAAAAGTCTTCAGACTGATTTCAATTCATTTGAATTATATCTCGCCGCTCAAGTACCAAGCAAACTATTATTTGCGATCAAAATTTATTGAGAATAGAATCTACTATAAGTGTTGATATAGATAGAGAATCGAATGGAAAATATAATTTTAATTTATTATTATTAATTTTAAACAATATTAATTATTGCACTTCATGATTATTATGGTATATTCGTTTTTATTAACAATCAGTTTACATCATGTCTGGTTTTCAGTGAACTAAAATTTGCTGAAAGTTTTACGAGTACTTTTTTTACACGATTCCTTGGATTTGTGAACGTACATTTGTACGAAGAACGCATGGCTAAAGAATCTTAAGCCACCATCCGCGGACAACGTGGAATTTGCGATCTAAATATCTCGTAAAATTTAGCAAAAAAGTAAAAGGGTACTTTTAGGACACATCTGTGTAATAAATAAAACTATCCCGCGATTTCATGCCGAAAGATCAAAAACTCACCTCCCCCCCCCCCGTTAGAGAGTCAACTAAATTAGTCAGTCAGAGGATTACGTAATTTCATGCAAATTCGCCTTTTTTTACACAATTATCGCAAGTGGAGAATAGGAATAAAATTATCGGAATTATATATACTTCTGAGACACGCTTTAAATACGTGCAAGATGGATGTACCAATTTACTTTTTAATAATTAACCAATTTACTTTACATTCTCTAAGTCGGAACTAAGTTGGAAACAAGACGAGCAATACAAACTGCGAACACACCATAAGTAGCGATCGAGGATTATGAAGAAATCGAGTCAAAGAAAGTGAAAAGTGTATAGTATTGAATTTATAGTTTATAATTATGTATAGTTTATAATTCGTGTATGGCACACGAAAACTTTTCTGTTTCATTCTTACTATTAGAAAATAGGTGAGCATAAATCGGTACAGTTGAATTTCTAAGGGGATCCTATTTGTGATTAAGCAACCACGTGTTAACACAAAAATTGAATTCTTTTCATTGTGTTTCCGTTATCAGAACATGGTACAAATGGTAAACAAAGATATGTACGTGGCTACTTTTCGGAATAAAAAACACGGACATTTCAATCACCGTATTTAACTAGTATCATAGTATTAATATATATATACTAGTAAATATTAGTATTAGTTATATTACTAGTATATATTTATATACTACTAAACAATCAAGTATTATGCTTTTTTAAATGTTGTTTTTTTGATTCCTTGTTATCTAGTTGCTATACGATTAAGCCAATAATTCATTACTCTATAGGAATTTAAAATCCTGAAAGATTATTTACACCTTCGTTTCTAACAAAGGTAGCGGAACCGGTTACTGTGATGTGACCATTTACTGTGCCTTTGGTTATATTGTTTTCTGGCACGATCAACTTTATCAAATAGGACATTTCATTCTTTTATTTCGTCTATTTCTTAATTCCAAAATTTAATATGTTGTATTCGATAATTCTGAAGTTAATTCTATCCGAAAACCAACGAAAGGCACAGCAATGGGCACAGTAACCGGCTCCACTACCCCAGTCAACGCTTAGATGATCCAAAATTGGGACATTCATCTAACGGAAATCCGCAGATTAGTTGCAACCATGAACACGCGCTTGCATTTCACCGCATTTTCATAACTTCCCCATTACTTCCCGGATATTCCAAGCCATTAAACTTTTGATTCGCCGGAGCACGGTAGAATTGCACCGGAGAAAGGAGCGTTACCCGAACTGGGCCAAAGTACAAGAAATTTTCGCCATTGTCCCCCGCTCAAGAAGCCGTCAAGACGCAGCCCGTCGGGAAAAACCGGCTTGATAAATATTAGAAGACGATACAGAATCGAGGAACCGGGGAGGCTGCGCCGAGGCTTGCTTTCGGCCCATCCGGCCGGCGATGGAGTTAAGTGGCGCGATTTTTCAATTCTGAGAGTCTTTTCGTGTATTATTAAAATGCAACGTTACAGAAGAGTTATGGGCGCAATGAATATTCCCCTTATATAATGACTCTGAAAAATTCTTCCCGCCGGACGCGTGCACATTTTTTATGACCGCAATCTTTCGCCGTGAGTAACTAAATAATGCACCGAGGAAAGGCAACCCCTTCCTACTTCCGACCGTCATCCCGCCCACCTGTGCGCCCCCTCCACCCTTCATCATTCCCACATAGCATTATCATTATTCTGGCTAATTTTCGCGGGAAGTTTCAATTCCAGAAACGTGTTATCGTTTCGGGCTGGGAAATCTCTTCTTGCACCGGGAAAGTTCCCCCCCTCCCCCCGTTTAAGGACGAAATACGCGCGTCCATGAATATTCCGCCGGATTATAAACACCGGTCCGTTGAATGTTCATTTTGACCGTGTATAAACGTTGTCCTCGTTAAACCACGGCCCTCTCCAAGCGTATTCATAGTGTCCGATCATAGGGAAGAAGTATTTTTTTTTATGGCAGGCTTGTTCCAACGCGACAGAGATTCACGGTTATTCCGGCCTCCATGATGAACTCGTTGAAGCAGTTAAATACTTCGTGGACAACGATTGCTTGGCTGTTTTTGTTCACGAAGGCGTGATCCGAATAATTTTTGTTCGACATTTAAAAGCATCTTTTCGAGAACAAAATATATGTACATGTTGTTTGGACTTAGCTGAAATGCGGGAGGAACGTTTATTTACGCGTTGCACTTAGTTTTCGTTTTGTTTGAATTCTGATTTAATTATGGCATAAATATACAAAGCGAGTACATTAAGTAACTCATAAAATATATTTATTTATTATATTTTATATTATATTATTTTTATATATTATTTATTATATTATTATATTTATTATATTTTATTATATTATAATATATATATATTTATTTATTTATATTTCTGATGGA